AGCTTTCATACAGTCTAAATTGTTAAAATTCTTTGATTTAGTGGAATATAAGACCGCTGTGTTTATGTATAAAGCCAGGAACGACTTATTACCTGGTGAAATCCAAAAGTTATTTAATGAAAGGGAAGGAGGATATAATTTAAGGGGTCAGTTAAATCTAAAAGTTCATGCTATACGTACAACCAAAAAAAGATTTTGTATTTCTATAAGTGGGGTCAAATTTTGGAATAATTTAAGTGTGGACATGAAAAATAGTACTAGAATTGAGGAGTTTAAATATAAATATAAATGTATGTGTCATACAAGATATATGCAAGAATAAGAGATTTAATCAAGAATGCATGAAGGAAACAGTTTTAAATTTTCTGTGTATTACTTGTCTGGTGAAGAAGAGAATTACCTATGTAGAGATACTGCTTGCAGCCAATGATGCATGAAATATTTTGTATAAGATGATGTTATGGGGTAGGACTGGATAAGTCTGACTTCTTCCTACTCCATTCAAACATGTACTAGGTATAAGCAAACTGATTCTGGATTAGCATTGGTTGGATTTGTGTAATTATGTGTGTGTTGATGTCATTTGTTCTGCATGCTTGAAAGAATAAATCAAATCAAAATCAAATCAAGTTATTTTTCATTTACACTGTGGTATATACCTTAAATATTAAAGTGTGTCATAGAAGATTTGATGATCATTACACCCTTGGTCTGGATTTGATCGTAAAGCTCAGCTCTTTGGCTACATTATTTACACTTGCCTTAACTTTTGTATGTCAAGTTGGAGGAAACGTGAGGGAGCTAAATGCCTTATTACTGTATATTGTGTGTGAATTCCCATCGATTAGGAATGATGAGCCATACCTAACATGGATTAATATGCATATTATCAAATCCATTTTTTCTGGTCAAGATGAGAAGGTTAACAAAGATACTTAAGGAGAAATGTAAAGTGGGTGTCAGGTTTTCACATTAAATACTTTCAGTCTTTTCTAGCCTGTTTTGTCCCAGTGTGTAATTGTGGGGGTATTTGACTAATCACAGCACCTATTGTTTCTTCTTCTGTGGTAACAGAACAGGGTGATTAAGGGAGTGTACCCCGCCAGCCCTTCCTCCTGGCTCTTTGTCGTCACAGCGATCCTGGTCACCATATACACGCACTCGGATCCCAGCATGGGGCTCATCGCTAAGATACAGCAGCACCTGCCGCTAAGGTATACATGTGCATCTTCTTTTCCAGCACATAAAGCTGGTCATCCATGAATCAGTAATTCCACTGTGGCATAACTGCACTCTCTGAGAGCCGTTTGCAATCAGCCGGATGCAAAAATTGTAACATCTACAGCAGCATCTCGGTGTTGCCATGTGGTAGTGCCACCAGTTTGGAGTTGATTTCTCAAGGACTGGTGTAGTTTTCTGTTTGTAGATAGAAATGATTCTCAGATTACACATTAGCTGCATTATATAGGCTGAAATTTGAAAACTAGCTGATCACATTATTGTTAAAATTAGCAATGCAAAGAAATTATTAGTTTTAAAATTTTTGTGTATTACTTGTATGCATCCTGTTCATAAAAACAATCAAATGCATATACAGTATGTTATCAAATTTTATACCCCCAAATATTACATTATCGGGATCAGCCTCAAACATCCAGTGTTGGTCAGAGTATACATAAGAATACTGCCAGCTTTAAAGGTCAGTCTCATATGTGCCAGTAACAGGGAGGAGGGCTGGTCCAAATAGATGTAATGAGTCATTGTGGAGTGATGTGGGTGAGGTGCTGCCACTTGAACTTTGCTCTACTTCTTGCCTGTACACTAATTGTAGCTTTAGAGACACCTTACATCACTGACTCACTGTCATTTTGCTCTGCTGTTGATACAGTTCATACATCTTATCATCTGTAGTCAGGTGTTTTTCTGCTCTGTGTAATTCGAAAGAGTCAGATTTACTTGCTCATTGATCCAGCAGATGTTGCTGTCATAATATTTACATACATTTCCACACAGTGAGGTATGAGATGAGGAAAGTATAGTAGACATGCTTTTGTTTAAGGTTTGCTATCATTATTTGTGGTAGATAAGTTGCATTTCACTGTGGACAGTGTGTATTATCTGCCCTCTGCTGGTTGTAATGGTGCACATGTTTGGATAGATGACGGCAGAGTCTGTGGTATTTGAATCTGTTTCACAGCATATTCCTGGGTTGGCAGTACTTGGTTTACAGTGTCATAAAGCATTTAATAAATGTTTTTATAAAGTGTTAGCCACTGGTCAAAAGAAGTCTTAAAATGTATGCATGAAATCTGTGACATTCTGTGGCATACAGTATGTTGCACTCACCTGAGTCAGGTGTACACTGCCAACTTGTAGTTTTAAACATCTTCAGAAATAATTTTGTTTGTCAAATGTTTTTTTTATTTGAAGTTAACAAATTAGTCTTGGTTTTAGCTTCACATTTTAATGTCTAAAGTGTTGAATTTGGTTTTTTGCTGCTAGTTTACACACTGCTGTATGTTGTGCAATTGTAATTGTCCGTGTCCACCCACCCCCACCCCGTCCAGTCTGCATGTCTCTCTTGGCACCCAGGGTCAGACCGTGGTGTCAGCGATGGTCTTCAGCACTCTGCTGTGGCTCTCGCTCATCCTCGCCCTCAGGTTCTGCCTCAAGCTGCTGCTTTCCTACCACCGATGGATGTTTGAGCAACACGGCCGGATTTCCAACACCACTAAAGTGTGGGCGGTAAGTCTTGCTTCTACTTGGTATCACAGCTCCCTCCTGTGGCCAGTCTGCAGAAGCATGATACAAAATTGCTGCTTCATTTAATTTTCAAACATGTTTTAAAACATGGTTTTATGTACATGTTGTATCTGTTGTATTTACCTTGCCAGGCTACGCAGTGGTTATGTTTTTGCCAGCATTTGTGTTTTTGTTTGTTTAACCACATTACTCAAAGTAATAAACAGATTTAATGACATTTTTTGGAGTGGTAGGGTATGGCCCACAGAACAGTTGATTTTGGTTGTGATCCCTCACATAATTTGCATACAGGATTTTTCTAAAAGATCAAGGCCCAAGGTGAGAGTAGTGTCTGGCCCACCGTCCAGAAAACAAAAACTGGACAGTGGACCAGTTTCATAGGCTACTGAAAACCAGATGTGGTGCCCATTCTGTCTTTTTCATGCGAACAGTTGTCTGTCTCTCTGTCAGCAGGTGCGGCCAGACGGTCTTAACCAGGTTGATCACGAGCCTGTACTGAACAAAAATAGTCCACATATAGTCTCATCAGGAGGAAATAGCAGCGTCTTTGTGTATGGGTTTATTGATTTTTCTCCAGCTCACTACAGAGCCTGAGTGAAACTAAGGTTAAAAGCTCACGCTTGCCTCCAGTGGCTGTCATCAGATAGGCTACCAGTAAAAGGTTTGCAGCAGAACAACTCGGGAATTGTGTGATTTAAACAGCTGTCTGTAGAGATTATCCTTATGAACCCTGTGCTACCCCGTTGGGTACTTTTAATAAAAAAATAGCTTCTTCTTCTTCTTTCAGCTGTTCCCATCAGGGGTCGCCACAGCAAATCATTTGTTTCCACCTAACTCTATCCTCGGCATCCTCTACTCGCACCCCAGTTAACGTCATGTCCTCTTTTAGCACATCCATATATCTCCTCTTTGGCCTTCCTCTTGACCTCTTGCTTGGCAGCTCCATCTCCAACATCCTTCTACCAATATAACCACTATCCTTCCTCTGCACATGTCCAAAATAGCTACATTGTTGTATTTGTCTACATGATACCATAAAATAAAATCTATGAGCAGTTTATCAAGCAGCTGTTCAACAGCTGTTGAACAAGCAGAACACAGCTTTGCAGAAATGTGACGCCTGCACTGCTTTGCCCTCAGTCCACTCACTGAAGTCCTCGTTTTACCTCTAAACCAATGAGTGAATGTCAGAATAACTTTCAAACTAATAATATCAACATCATTCCAGATACCAGCAGCAGGTTTCATTGTCATGCAATCAAATTATGAGGGTTTTATGTCATTATGGGGAAACAAACTAGCCCCTTTGAGTGCTCTCTAGCCTAAACTGCTACTGAAAGTGTCACAAATCTGTCTGTTTCCTGTAGACTCTGGTGAAGTTACTGTCAACCAGGAAGCCTCTGTTGTACAGTTACCAGACCTCTCTGCCTCACCTTCCTGTTCCTCCCATCAGAGACACACTGAGCAGGGTGAGAACACAGACGTGAACTCGCCTGCTGTCCATGTGCTTTGACATATGTTCATGGGCACACCTTGCCTTTAATTCTGATAACTTATCTTCTCTGTGTATCTATCTGCATCTCTGTATATACTGTTCTAAATAAAATAACCCTTGTCTCTCACTCTCTCTCAGTACCTGGAGTCAGTACGCCCTCTGCTGACTGATCCTGAGTTTAAACGGACAACTGAACTGACCAGTCAGTTTGAGTCTAACCTGGGAAACCGGCTCCAACGCTACTTGAAACTCAAAGCACTGTGGGCCACCAACTACGTAAGTGTACTCACTAGAGCCAAAACAGTTGTTCCAATAAACACTTTATTCACATAAATTAATAGGTGGTTTGTAAACATGTCACTGTTATGATGCAGGAAACTCTGACAGATAAATAATTGTGTGGATGCTGTAAATTTTTTTGCCTTTGTTATTAGACACTACAGAGAGACATGAATCAGGAGAGGATTTACAACAAAAGTCCTGCTGGAACAATACACCTGTCCACACACCACTGGGCCTTTTTTCTAAACCAAAACTTCATTCCTTTTCTACAGATGCTGCCTATACACATGAAAAACGACCTAATATAAATATTCACTCAGTTGTCAGTTTATTAGACACACCAGGCAAAAACTAAGTCTGCTCCAACAGTCCTGTAACAAACCCTCCTTCACCACGGTGGTAATGTTCAGTGTCTGATCCTTTGGAGGGTGTAATTGTTATGGTCTCTCTCAAGCCAGGGGAAGAAAGGGAGAGAGAAACAGGGAGAGAGGCAGGGAGCGGAGCGCAACCCTGACAGTAATTTGTTGCTGAACTGCATTCATTACACTAGAAGGTGTTTCTGTTATCTACTACCCCAATTCATTTATATCATACATATACATTTAGATCAGACCGACTCACTATAGGCCAGTACAGTTCAACAATTCCTGCACTAAGAACAGGATTATGGTTTCTGTAAACTTTAAAAGAAAGAGACAATAAATCAAATCCCTTTTTTCTGTTTTACTGGCAATTGATATTCCACAGTTTTGGAAAGAACTGTTTTAAAACACTTATCTAAAAAAATTTGCTTTAAATGAACAGAGGAACAAAGGTATGTCCTGTTTTCCAGGTAAGCGACTGGTGGGAGGAATACATTTACCTGAGGGGTCGAAGTCCCATCATGGTGAACAGTAACTACTATGGCATGGTAACCAACCCCCTTTCCTGTTTTACACCGTAGAGAAGGAACACTACTACTACTACTACTACTACTACTACTACTACTACTACTACTACTACTACTACTTTTGGCTGTTCCCATTAGGGGTTGCCACTGCTACTCAACTGTTCGCATGTATACATTTGGCAAGCGTTTTACACCGGATGCCCTTTCTGACGCAACCCAAATTGGGAAAGCATTTTTCTTTCCTATTTTTTCCCTCTGCTCTTGCTTGTATTCCTTCCTTCACCTTTCCCTTTATTTACTTTTCCTGTCCTTAGTGTCCTCTTAAGTCTTCAAAAGCATTAATCTTGAGTCTAATGTTGTTTTCATTCTAATGTCCTTTTTTCATGTGTTCCTGTCCAGGACTTTTTATATGTGACCCCAACGCCAGTGCAGGCAGCCAGGGCAGGCAACACCATTACCGCCCTGCTGCTCTACCGCCGCAAGGTCTACCGGGAGGAACTGAAACCGGTACAAACACATACTGTATTTCTGCTAAGATGACAAATGAATGGCTTGAACTGGGGGTCTGGAATGAGATAGTGTAGCTATAAAACTTTATTATCTAATAATACTTTTAGTTGATCTTTGTGGTGGACATATGGTAAAAGAGCAGCTGAGCAAACATTAAGGGCTTTTCCAAGTCTTGTGCTGAGCGATGTGTCTCTTGAGGGAGTAAATGAAAAATGTCAGGAGGAAGCATTTAAAGTTATGTGCATATAAACAGCTGGGATCCAATGTGTCCGAACGTTTACATAAATACACTTCTTACACAAAGGATCTTGGCTACTGCACAAATTTCCCACTCTTGACAAATTGTAATTGTGTTGTACTGTCAATATTAAGGTAAGGTTGGAGCATACACTGTACGCATTCACTTTATTCTTTATCTAATATGTTGTCCGATTACTATGGTAACAAATTTTGCCCCCTGAATTTTTAGACAACACTTTTTTTGATAATTGTGGCATGAGCCTGACATGGTGATGCCACGCTTTAGCCAAGATTAAAATATTAAAAAACATTTTGAAATATCAATGATTCTCACATGAGAGGAGGCCCCGGGGAAGACCCAGGACACGCTGGAGGGACTATGTCTCTCGGCTGGCCTGGGAACGCCTCAGCATTTCCTCCGGAGGAGCTGGAGGAAGTGTCTGGAGAGAGGGCAGTCTGGGCATCTTTGCTTAGACTGCTGCCCCTGCGACCCGGTTCAGGATAAGTGGTGGAAAATGGATGGATGGATGATTCTCACAAGATGATTGCTCTTGACTTTGATGATCCTAGCATGCTTCCTCAATCTTTGTGGTTTTGGGTGAAATATTTCAACTACTAGTTGATGGATTGTCATGAAGTTTGGTATAGAGATTGTTTCCTGCAAGATTAACTTTAATAACTCTAGTGATCCTGTGACTTCTCCTCATCAGATCCAAATTTTAATTATCTAAACTGTTATCAGCCTTGTTTAGTGCTAAATACCAAATCTTAGCATTGTGACTCTTTTCCTGCTAAAAAAGCAGCATGTTAGTATTGGCATTGAGAGGGTGTTAGCAAAACATAAGAGATTTTGAGGACTCATTGGTTTTCATATAATTTACTGTATAGAATACAGTATCTGTTTAGTTTTTTTCGAGCCTGCTTTACTAGTTTGAGAGGCATAAATTGTATATTCCTAAAGCAACCCTCAAAAACAAGCTAAGGATGCTTTCACTTAACATTTGTAGAAACGAATCCTCATACAGTGCCTTGCGAAAGTATTCGGCCCCCTTGAACTTTGCGACCTTTTGCAACATTTCAGGCTTCAAACATAAAGATATAAAACTGTAATTTTTTGTGAAGAATCAACAACAAGTGGGACACAATCATGAAGTGGAACGAAATTTATTGGATATTTCAAACGTTTTTAACAAATAAAAAAACTGAAAAATTGGGCGTGCAAAATTATTCAGCCCCCTTAAGTTAATACTTTGTAGCGCCACCTTTTGCAGAGAGCATCATGAAGAACAAGGAACACACCAGGCAGGTCCGAGATACTGTTGTGGAGAAGTTTAAAGCCGGATTTGGATACAAAAAGATTTCCCAAGCTTTAAACATCCCAAGGAGCACTGTGCAAGCGATAATATTGAAATGGAAGGAGTATCAGACCACTGCAAATCTACCAAGACCTGGCCGTCCCTCTAAACTTTCAGCTCATACAAGGAGAAGACTGATCAGAGATGCAGCCAAGAGGCCCATGATCACTCTGGATGAACTGCAGAGATCTACAGCTGAGGTGGGAGACTCTGTCCATAGGACAACAATCAGTCGTATACTGCACAAATCTGGCCTTTATGGAAGAGTGGCAAGAAGAAAGCCATTTCTTAAAGATATCCATAAAAAGTGTCGTTTAAAGTTTGCCACAAGCCACCTGGGAGACACACCAAACATGTGGAAGAAGGTGCTCTGGTCAGATGAAACCAAAATCGAACTTTTTGGCAACAATGCAAAACGTTATGTTTGGCGTAAAAGCAACACAGCTCATCACCCTGAACACACCATCCCCATTGTCAAACATGGTGGTGGCAGCATCATTGTTTGGGCCTGCTTTTCTTCAGCAGGGACAGGGAAGATGGTTAAAATTGATGGGAAGATGGATGGAGCCAAATACAGGACCATTCTGGAAGGAAACCTGATGGAGTCTGCAAAAGACCTGAGACTGGGACGGAGATTTGTCTTCCAACAAGGCAATGATCCAAAACATAAAGCAAAATCTACAATGGAATGGTTCACAACTAAACATATCCAGGTGTTAGAATGGCCAAGTCAAAGTCCAGACCTGAATCCAATCGAGAATCTGTGGAAAGAACTGAAAGCTGCTGTTCACAAACGCTCTCCATCCAACCTCACTGAGCTCGAGCTGTTTTGCAAGGAGGCATGGGCAAAAATTTCAGTCTCTCGATGTGCAAAACTGATAGAGACATACCCCAAGTGACTTACAGCTGTAATCGCAGCAAAAGGTGGCGCTACAAAGTATTAACTTAAGGGGGCTGAATAATTTTGCATGCCCAATTTTTCAGTTTTTTATTTGTTAGAAAAGTTTGAAATATCCAATAAATTTCGTTCCACTTCATGATTGTGTCCCACTTGTTGTTGATTCTTCACAAAAAATTACAGTTTTATATCTTTATGTTTGAAGCCTGAAATGTGGCAAAAGGTCACAAAGTTCAAGGGGGCTGAATACTTTCGCAAGGCACTGTATATGCATGTCTTCCTTAGCTTTGAAAGCATGTCAGAATGAATGTTATATTAATAATATATGTGTATGTCAGGGTTGTGTTCCTGGCACTGTCATCCCTCTGTGTGCTGCTCAGTGTGAGAGGATATTCAACACAACACGCATTCCAGGAACCGAGACCGGTAACACACACACCCCTTATTGCTCCAGATGTGTTCTGCAGTTTCTTTAATGGATAGAAATGTGTTGCCTGATGTTTGTAGACTGGGCCAGTTTTATGATGGGTATTGTCCTGCCTATACATTAGATGATGATGCACAGCTGTGAGAAGCCAACTTAACAGCTTCGTCCTTCAGATAATAATAGTGATAATCCTCCTTTTCTCCACAGATGTGCTGCAGCACTGGGATGACAGTGAGTTTGTGGCAGTATACCACAAGGGGCGTTATTTCCGCCTGTGGGTGTACTGGGCAGGCCGACGACTGTCTCCCAGGGAGATTGAGTATCAGATCCAGAGGATCCTGGATGACCCCTCGCCACCACAGCCTGGAGAGGACAAACTGGGAGCTCTCACTGCTGGAGACAGGTGTGCGTAGGAACAGACTCTGCTATATTATATACTCTACATCATTGGTTTTCAAATGTTTTTGCCCCGGCACACCCAAGGGCAAGTCAAAGTCTCAAGGCACACCTGTATTCATGTCCATGCAAAATAGCCTCTATACCACATATTATCAGCCTTTTCACTACAAAGATTTAGTTATATTTCTTTATGACACATAAAATGAGAAAGTGAGAGAGGAGAGGTGGATCTTGCATGAGAGGGAAGCATGAAGATGTAATCTCTCCTTACAGACCAAACTAAGATGAGAAATGCATTGGGAATAAAAACTAATTTGCTTAAAAAAGAGATGCACTGAGAATGAAAACTGGTTGTGACGGCCAATCACTCTGACACTCTGTGCTGGTCAAAACAAACAAAAGCATACTGTGTGCAGAGCATAGCATCTTATGTGTATCTCGAATGAGACTCGTACTTGTATCTCACTCACACATCGGAAGCACTTGGTGTACAAACAGCTCACAGAGGAGGCTGCAGAAACACCTTTGAGAAGGGACATAAGGTCCAGATCTCAATGTTTTTATGTATCACCCTCTTAGGATTCCTTGGTCTCAGGTCAGGAAGCAATACTTTAACTATGGTGTCAACAAGAAATCACTGGATGCCATTGAGAGGGCGGCCTTTTTTGTATCCTTGGATGATGAAGAGCAAGGCATGATGGGAGAGTACCCAGCAAGAAACTTGGACCGCTACGCCAAGTCTCTGCTCCATGGGAAATGTTACGACAGGTGAGGAGGGCAAAGTATATGGGCATTTGAAAAAGCACCAAATCTCTGAAGATTGCAACCAGAACTATGCTTTCCTGGCCTTTAAGGTACCTTTGAATCCTGAAGTAACCACACAAAGTCGTACTGTCTTATCAGGCAGGATTGCAAAACACTTCTCGGTGCTGAGTTGTACCTGTCTTGATCTGATCTCTTATTCAACGGTATTCTTATTCCTGGATCAGACAGACATTATAACTTGTCTGAAATCATGTCTACAAAGTCTTATTTGTGATATAACAGTATAAACAGATTTCAATCTTGAGTCTTCATAAAACAAGGTAGAAAAATACAGATTTAAAGCATAAACATGGAAAATGTTTAGCAAAATATCCACAGTTGCAGAAGCATCGAAAAAAAAAACTATAGCAGTAATCCCCTATTATGGAGTTACAGACAAGACAGAGCACAGATAAAATCCCCTCTGTTGTAATGTCTGCGACTCTCAACCTGATGCAGTTTATCTGTCACATTTGAAAACCTGTCTTTACTTAACTTTTGAACATGCCTAAGGAACAGGGTGAGAATGGTCATTCCTTTCAGTTCTTGTATAGTTAGCTGGATCTGAGTATACTCAAATAATGTAATCCCCCTCTGTTAAACAGATAAACAAATGAAACTTGAGGGGCCCCAGCTTGCTCAGTGCAACTTTGAGAATGCTATGGAAAGATGTTATTTATCCAGATTTCATCAAAACACAGTCAGCATTGGCTCACTAATACTTGTATCAAAACAAATAAAGATCTGAAACTTGGCACCAAATGTTTGGCCAGAATCTTGAAGTAGCAGTTTGGCGTTTTGGGAAATAGTCTTTTTTGCCTTTAAAGAGATGTTAGTCTAGTTTTTGCCATTTGTAACATTTCTTCTTCCACTTTCAGCTGTTCCCGTTATGGGTCGCCACAGCGAATTATCAGTTCCCACCGAACCGATGATTCACACGTTAAACTTGGCATGTTTTGCGCCAAATGCCCTTCTGGATAATGTCTCATTTTTAGTCGCCAATCAACCTAAGCTGCATGTCTTTGGACTGTGGGAGGAAACCAAAGAACATGCAAACTCCACACCGAAAGGTCCCGGGTCGGCTGGGGCTCGAACCCGGAACCATCTGCTGTGAGGCAACAGCACTAACCACCGTTCCTGTGTGCCACCCTCATTTGTAACATTTATATCCTCTAAATATTTTGAGGCTACAGCTGTCACCACAGTTGACCATGGTTACAGGTGTTGTACTCGTCTGTCGCAAGGTTTGTGTAAAAAGCAGTTTATTTGCTCACACAGCTTGAGAGGAGAAGCTGAATCGTCAGATAGAAGTTATATGGTGATAGTTCTGTAGCAAACATCTGGCAAAAGATTTAGATGGTTGACTGTCCATATTAATCTTGTAACATCTGGCAAAAGATTTAGATGGTTGACTGTCCACATTAATCCTGTAACACCTGGCAAAAGATTTAGATGGTTGACTGTCTAGATGGTTGACTGTCCACCTGGCAAAAGATTTAGATGGTTGACTGTCCACATTAATCCTGTAACATCTGGCAAAAGATTTAGATGGTTGACTGTCCACATTAATCCTGTAACATCTGGCAAAAGATTTAGATGGTTGACTTTCCACATTAATCCTGTAACATCTGGCAAAAGATTTAGATGGTTGACTGTCCACATTAATCCTGTAACATCTGGCAAAAGATTTAGATGGTTGACTGTCCACATTAATCCAGGGTCTCCCACTGATGGCAGCTTGTAATCTACTATAAATGACACATCACTGTAGCATCTCAAACTAAGTGTAATAATAATCTAATAAGCCTGTAACGTTACAGGGTCCACGGTAAACCTGTTAATAATCAATGTGGTTTTTCTCTCAGTTTAATGTTATCCAGCAGATGGTGGCAGTGGAACATGGGTGATTAATGACCCAGTTAATTCTGTAGTCATGGTAAAGCCTGTTAGGGTGACTTGAACACAGAAGTGAGTGAGTCACAAAAAATAGACGGACCCAGGTGGCTGACTTCGATGCAGACAGTGGTAGTTTATTTACAGTGATAATAAGTGACACGAAATGAACAGTGGAGTAATGTAGGGACCAGGTGTCGAGCTTCGGAGGTGTACACAGTCAGTGATGGATATGATGTGAAGATGACCGGGCTGCGGACACTGGGATACACTCCTGGGCTGGTCGGGTAGGATGGTACTGAAGATAACAGAAATGTAAACATACGGTAAGTAGTAAACTGTGCATCGACCTGCAGGTTGTGGTGGAGAAGAGCGTAGGAGGTCCGTGGTCCGAAGGAGCGACTAAGGTGAGGAGGGATAAATCCAAGCAGCTGGAGAGAAGGAGGCAAGACAAAACTAACACAGAATCAAAAGAACGACTGGTAACAAACGGGCCTGATAAATGCTGGAAAGAACTGGCAGGGGAGTGAACGAAGAGCAGGGAC